CTGGTTCAAAGTGATGTGCAAATGTTTTGGACGTCGTCCCATTCTTCCACGTTTGCTGCCTCATGGGTCATTCCATCCAAATGTTGTTTGAGCTCGACTTGCTGTGGGGTTCACCGTATTTCCGGTGCTTTGTGTGGGCTCTCGGCGCTGGGAAGGTTTTGTTGTCATCAGCAGCTATGTGCTAGCACTAGTCATTCTAGTTAAAAAAAGAGCTGCTAGGAAGAAGGCATGCATGAAACCTAGGGGTGCGGAAAAAAATCATTTTGGCGATATATCATGATTTTTTTGGCTCCCAATTTAGTATCGATCTTTTTGTTCCTAGTATAGATTTTTTTAAAACAAAAAATACTTTACCAAAAACAAAGTGGCTACCTCTGCACCACCATTCTGAAGCCGTATCTGTAGTTGAGGCAGCCACAGTGGAAGACGTTGACTCAAACCCCAAACAACATGGATGCCAAAAAAAGTAAATGATCAATATCTTTGATGAACATATACAGCACTCGCTTTTTGATCTATGAATTTAATTTTGACAGCAGGGAAAAATCGCAATATATAGTGATATTGCAATATTGTGAAAATATTGTATTGTGACCCAAGTATCGTGTCACATATTGTATCGCAACACCCATGCCAATACTCACCCCTAATGAAACCCTATGTCCAGAAGAGTTTGGGTTTTTTAAAGAGCTTTGTCTCAGAGGGAAAAACGGGGTCATGTATTACTTAGGAAAATTCAGACACACACAATATTAGTTTTTGCTCTTAGTTTTTAGTCTTTCTGGCCTAGTTTCTATTGGCTGTGCACGAGCCATGGTCAATGCTGAACTATTTTAAAATATGACTGTGTTCGCACACACGCTCGCAAGTGGAATATGAAGCTCCCTAGGGAGAAATGCACAATTTTGACGCATGTCGACGCATTTGGACAAAGACTGGGCTGAGCAAACGAGGCTAATGCAGTCTTTCAGTTTTACAGAAAGAATTCAATTTCACTCGCACCCCACCATGCTTCTGTGTTTTCATCTGAGAGGAAGAAGCAGAAGAAGAAGAACTCTTGTTTTTGCATGCCCATTAAACGATTTTCCCATGATGGCCCACCGAAATATGTTTGATTTTCTCCCGACCTCACGATTCCTGATTGGGAGGTGGTCGTGAGAAGCTGGTCGCCCCTTGTTACCTCCTGCACACTACACAACGCACGATCAAGCTGAAAGCCTGCCCGATTGAAAAATTCTCGCACGACCGGAAAGTGAGCGAGAAAAGGGCAAAAAATCATAAAGTGTATGCCCAGCTTTAGGGAGGAATAATGAAAGATTTCATAGGCCATTTAAGGACTACATTAAAATGGCTTTTTTAAAACCACCAACGAAACCTCTTAAGAGTTATTTTCTTTACCTTCCATTTTGATTGAAAAAAAGCTTAATTTCTTCTCTAATCATTCACCCTTGAAGGCCTGAGGTTGTGGCTCCATGTCCATTTCATATCTGATGTTGCTCTCGCTTTACTGTAATTGCAAAAAAAGGACTTTTCCCCTCGCTAAAATGGCATCCTTCACCTTGCTTTGCTTCATAGCACAAGGATATCATGCAAATTGATGTGTAGGGTGTGAATAGACATTAGGTTTTAACTCGTGACCTGACTATAAAGACTTGAGGATTACCTGAGACCCAGGAGTAATGTCTTGGTTCTGCTGCTCTTGATTAGGAGCAGCGGTCATTCAGAAGGTAAAAGGTCCTGTAATCGGTGTGTCGCAGATTAAAGACCCTGCTCTGTCTGTCTCCATTGTTTTGATCTTGGACAAGACACTTCACGTGCCGTGCCACCTTGGGTTGTTTAGAGGGTTCGATGGCACTGTGGTACAACAGCCTCACTTCTTTCAGTGTGCCCCAGAGTAGCTGTGGCTAAAACATAGCACAGCACAATGACTGAATGTAGATTGGGCTTCTAGGACTTAATAAAACTCTGCAGAGGTACAGGATATTAAGTTCTGAAAACCATTGTTTGCACCAATTTCTTTCAAAATCAGAGTAAAAGGGTCTAAATCCAAGTGCATTATTTTTTAGATATATTGCATTGATTTTCAGTAGATGGAGTTAAAATAAAACTCCATCCACCTCAGAATTATGCATGACTTTCTGTGCGAACCGCTAGGTAAAATCTTTGGACACAGCCATATTTTCTTGAGCTCCACGGATAGGGTCACAGGTTTGCACAGGTTAACATTCTGCAGCCACTGAACTGGTTAATCAGATCACTTAAACAGACGCCGCCTCTGCCTCTGGAGTTGTTACGCTAAAAGTGTCCTGTGGTTTACATGACACAAGCCAAGCCACAGTTATTTCAAGGCCTTTCTAAATCTGAACACTGAATTGAGCTGAATGTTGCTTCACTAACACAAGCCAGTGTTTATCACTTAAAGATGTAATTACTTCGAGTTTGATCCCTGATCGCATCGACTAAGATAAACAAATAAAAGCCACGCATTCAGAGTCTGGCTTCATTGTCATGAATTAACAGCAGAGAAGCAAGTGAGCGGACAGTTTAACATGAACATGAAGGAATTTATAAATGTCTGGACCTCAGATGAACCGGTCGCGGTGGGGCAGCTCTAACTCTGCATGGCGGGGCCTTTTGATTTCTCCACATGTTGAAGTGATAAAGAAGAGTAATAAAATTCCTCTTGGAATTTAAGGACAAATGTTTGTATAAACCTTTTTAAAGAAAAAAATGAGCAATCTTGTAAGACAAAGTCAACAAACAAAGCAGTAAAAATAAAGATTTATGTAATATTTGTAGTTTTCTATCCAAAATAGGGAACATCTGACAACTGGCAGCCTGGTTTTCTGATGGTCTTCATATAAATAAATGGACTTCTCTCCCTCGAAAGATTAGCAGCTGTGTCCACATGTCTCTTTGTTCACACTCTGGCCCTCTTCCCGTGACTTTATGAGAGAGCTGGGTGGAAAATCTCTGTAGGAGGTAAAGACATGTACCTCCACATATGCCGCTTGTCCCTTTGGAACATTTCTGGAAAATTTCGGAGGCGAGCATGGCTAGAAAGAGCTATATGGAGTGAACCTTGTTCTGTTATTGAACACATTTTGTAAATGGAAATTTGAAACAGAAAATGCCATCAGAATTTTTTCTGAAAAAACAAAAAAAAACATGCAGAAAGTCAATTAAATTCAGTTTATTTCTATAGCGCCAATTCACAACACATGTCAACTCAAGGTACTTTACAGTTCACCAGATCATCCAGTCAAATTGATTCAAAGTTTTCTATCTAAGGAAAACCAGTTGATTGCATCGACTTATTAACTCGAAAGCAATCCCTCACACTAAGCATGCTTGTAGCGACAGTGGAGAGGAAAAACTCCCTTTTAACAGGAAGAAACCTCCAGCAGAACCAGGCTCAGTGTGAGTGGCGATCTGCTGAGGCCGACTGGGGTTCAAGGAGACAGAAGCAGAGATACAAAAAGCAACTGTAAAAGGCGGCCCCGTCCAAGAAACACACAACCAGGCAGACGAGCTCCGAGCCAACTCCCATTCCAGAGGATGAAGAGAGCAAATCCAGCCAGTCACAGCCAGAGAAACAGGACTACACTGAAAAACATGCCGATCTCCAACATCTATAAACAAAGGTGTTGATGGCAGCAGTACAGTCGACATCCCTCCCCAAGATGGCGTCACAGCCAAACAGGAATGGATGAAGCAAAGCTACTATGATAAAAAGCTGAGAGAGCGTAATGTTAGAGATTGAACTAACAGCTTCTGCAGAGTTGGAGAATAGAGAGAATGAAGCAGAATGATGGAGTAGGTTCCCATGTCCTCCAGAAGTCTAAGCCTATAACAGCAATCTCAAAGTTCCATATACATGTAATGATGGAATGAAGATATTGCTTAGGATGCCAAGAAGGATTGGCTACGGTGGTTATTTGCTGGTGTCTTCACTTTTTTTTTTGCTCCATTGAGTGATATTTTGTACAATTTAATGTGGAGATTATGAAATTGTGCAAACAAATCTCTGCCTGTCACTGATGCACTCTACACAAAGCTCAGCCCACTGGCGTTTTTGACATCTTCTTCATTTGTGGTTGTTATTTTGAATAGTTGTTTATTTTTATTTAGTTTAATAATTTTTCAGTTCTAATAAATATTTTTTTTTGCATTCAGACAACTGTGTTTCTTTAAAAAGGGTAAAGATGATGATGAACACTCATTCCAGGCAAAAAGCACTTTCTCGATGAGCAGTTTAATGAGACAGCTGTACAAGGTTGGAAACAAATTAGCTTTGCATGCATCAGTCTGTGCAGAGGATGCCACCATTATATGCAGCTATATTAATTTTGTTTTTAAAGCACTTTTATTTTGGGCTATTTTGCAAAAAAAAAAAAAAAAAAGGTCAAATGTCAGCCTCTAATTCTGTAAAGCTGATAAAAAGATAATACAAAAAAAAAAAAACAGACTTAAAACTGTGATCACAATCAAAGGTGGGGGGTTTCTCTAATGTTCAAAACTGTCGTGCCACTTTATTAGGCACTGTACGTCAGTCACTTAAAGACTCAACAAAAAGCATATAAGGTTGTGTCTGTAGCCTAGAAAACATCCACAGGGTTTTAATACTTTTTATGGATCAGAATTAGTGAAGTCCTAAAGTTAAACCACATTAATGTGTAAAGCTTTGGTTTTACTTTGAGGCATACAGACGCTGTTCAGTGGGACTTGATAATTGGCTTCTGAACCCTTGGAACCGCATAAACCCTTTACGCTTTTCACTTTCATGTCCAAAGACCCCCGCTCAGCCCCAACACTCCACATGAAACATGGCAAACTTGGAGCGGTTGGGGAAGTTTGGTCAAATTGAAAGTATATGTGCTGTGGATGGATCAGCTTTAAGCTGGTGTTGTTTAGTCTACTTTTCTCAGACTGTTTTTTTAATGCAATACTTGCTATTAACATTTGTTAAAGTCAGTCTTGTTTTCTTTGTTTTCCTACAGGTCAGTCTGCCAAATGACTCCAGCTGTGTGGAAGAAATTTTGCGGGTATGTTCTCTAGACACATACACACACACACACAGGGTAATTGCACTGATTATCAGCTGTTTTGTGTTTGCTCTCAAAGACGTTGGTTCTTCTCCAGAGAATTTGATCGTAGGAAGAAATGACCGAATGTAGAGCGAGAGAATAGGAAACAGAAGGACTAGAATGCAGAGGAATGGAAAAGAAAGAGATAGTTTGGCTCTGGCCCATGATTAAGGATTGTTTTATTGGATGAGGTCATGCCGACATCACTGCAGTTTTTCCCTCTTTTTAGCCTCCATCCGTATGCTTAAAAAAATCTCACTGAATAACATGCTTTTTCCACAGTTTCCCTTGTTCCTTGTCTCTGAATGATGTCAAAACAGATGTTTACTCTGTTAGTCCTCTGTCAGCAGTCCCATTGACAAAGCCCAGTTTGAATTGCTTAGTTAGCTCCTTCACCTTCGTCTCTGCTGTGGAACTGAATGCCCTCCTCTCCGCCGTCTCTGTCTCTTCCTTTCTGTCTTTCTCCGCTCCCTCTTCTCTGTCATTCACCTCGCTCTCTTTTTCACAAATCAATACGTGGGTCAACAGGCTTTGTGACAGATTGTCTGCTGCGAGCTGCATGAAGAGCCTCTGTCAATAATATCGGCGCACCATTGAATTCAGTGTGTGACGGTTAGCTGTGTCAAGTACAAAGATCTGGGAGTTCAAAATGTGAGTTGGGGTGAATCGGACTGAAGGCTCGCGGCTCAGTTCTTTCTTCTCTCTGCGATGGCCGTCAGGGAAACGTGGTTGCTCCAGATGAAGGGGAACATAGTCGAACGGTAAAAAGATGTAAAGCAAAACATGACACAGACAGGCTTTACTGACTGTCAGGACTGATGGCTTTGTCTGTCTGTTAAACTGACAGCGCGATGCTGCTCCAATAAAAGCCCAAGCTGTCGTTATGATTCACACTAGGCTGTGGTTGAACAACTTATGGCGACGCTCTGTTTTTCACTCCTTTAAGAACATCAATCTTTTTGGTCTGTGGAACAAAACACAAAACAATTTAGTTTTAGGTTTTATTTATATATATATATATATATTATATATATATATATATATATATATATATATATATATATATATATATATATATATATATATATATATATATATATATATATATATATATATATATATATATAGTTTAAAATGTGAAACAAAAGGAGTAAAAAACAAATAACCAGCGATCGAAGTCGCCTGTTTGGGACCAAACTGTTCCTCTGTCCATCTGTCCGTCGCCTTCCCCACTTATGTGAGATCTGGTCGCGCGGTAACAGGTCCGGAATAGAAAGCCGTCTCCACTTCTTTATTGGGCTTTCCAGCTCTTTGCATAGATTAGAAACCAAATCCACCCCCTTCCACCTCCTTCTGGGGTGACATGATGCCATGATGTCCAAACGGAGGCTTCCAGAAGGCCTCCTGATCGAATTTGTTAACTGTAGCTTTATTTTAACTTCATCAGGCTGACTCCAGTCACCATATGTAGGAATGGGATTTCAGCTGCTTGTATTCAAGATCTTTTCTTTCATTTATGATATATTGATCACATGCAGGGTCTGAACGCAGACAAGTAGGTAAAAAGAGAACTTTATCCTTTAAATCTCTCCTCACCGATACAGATTACTGTAGCGCCTCTCCATTGCAGGAGGATAACATAATCTGTCTGTCTATCTCTCACTAAAGCCTCATTTATCATTAATCCTGAACAAGACAGTAATACATTTGGACTCCCTAACAATGAGGCAGAAACTGACCTCTGACTTGAGGACCTGACACATCCAGGCTACTCCACACTTGGCAACGAACCGCTAATCCAACCAATACTAAAGGTCATGGCCTTAAAATCCCAACAGATTAGAGCTGCACTATATATCAAAATACAATCAATATCACAAAATCTGTGTTTGAATGTCAGTATCAGGAAGGGCTGCTTGAATGCAACATTTGATGAGCCACAACATTTCTCATTCCCTGCTCAGAATTCCTGTTGTTACCCATTTGCGGTGACTTTTCCTGCATTTATACCCACACCTGAGATGAGTGTAGTGGCCCAGCTGCTGAAGCCCTTCAAGAGGGCTGGGTACATTTTGAAGAAGGAAAAGAAAGAGTTATAATATAGGGATTACTTACAGTTCATACAATTATCTTGAATCTGAATTTACTGCAAGCAGCAGGCAAACCAGTGGCAAGCTGGGCGATGGGAAAGAAGGAGAAGATGATGAGAAAAAGAGAGCAGAGAAAGTGTGGACTGCTGGAAGACCTGCAAAGAAAAGTGAAATGGTGCTCAAAGATGAACCTGCACATTTAGAGGATGTTTGGCTCAACCTGCTGCTGTGAAGCAGGATTCTCCACCATGAACAGAATCAACAATAAATCTGGATCCAGACTCAAAATGAGCTCCTTGATATGTGCTTTAGAATGGCTTAGTCTCCATTCAAACCAGGTTTAAAGCCTTGCAGGGCAGCATAAAGCCCACTGTGAACATTAAGACAGAAAAAAGAAAAGGAAATAACAAACAGTAAGTTCAGGTGTTTTATAAAATATGTGAACCAGGAAATTGTCTATATACCAAACTGAACGATTGTTGTTCTCTACTTAAAAAAAAACTTTAGATTTTAAAATGGAAAATGTTCTATTGCTTTTTTTTATTTAAAAATTCAATGTATGCAAACATGAATGCATAAAAACCTCATTTTATTTCACTGTTAAATTATGCTTAAAGTAATGGATTATATAAAAATATCTCCCGACCTTTAGTGGTTGATGATTTTCTTTATTCGACCTCTCTGATTTTTAATTGGTCACCCCTGGCTTAGATCAAAGCACATCTGTGTGCTTGAGGTTCCCAGTCAAAGTACAAAACTAAACTAGAAAAAGCTGTTTCAGAGAAACAGCAAAGTGGGAATGCTTTTTTTGCTGAATGAAAAGAGAAAAATTAGCTAAAGAAACTGTGAGAAGGAAAAGAAGCACAAATTAGCTGAGGAACATATGAAAATGTGAAAGGAATTCATCAGAAGCTTCAAACTGCAGAAAACAATTGACTCATCTGAAGATTTTGTAGGGTAGAATCATCTGGCAGTAAAATGGCAGAAACAGACTCATCTTAAAAACTGCACAGCCAAACCATACATGATATCAAAAAATGTGTTCAATGTGGACACTAGAAGGGGTCTAAATGTAAGGTCTCCCAAGTTTCTAGAAAAAGTTCTAAAGAAATTTTGAAGGGGGGCCACCTACTGCCCAGAAACATGTCAGGCTTGTTATGAATTAGCAGCAAACAGAAAAGCTTAATTCCTGTCCAGAAAGAGAGCAGAATGAAGCCAAAGTTCACAGCATAGGCTGAAAAGTATTAAATTAGCTGAATCTGAAAAGAAATTACAAACAAAAACTTTAATCTTATCTGGTTGAAGAAAAAATTAGTAGCTTAAGGATGGGAAGTAAAATGTTGAGGAAGATGGAATTGAATAAGTATCAAAATTTTGAAATCTTATGTGGAAATGTCAAGACTTGGAAAAACAATTTGTAATGATTTAAAATGTGTCGGTTGATCAGCATAGAGAAAACAGTGTCATCCTTAGAGGATTGAAAACCTAAAAACCTATGTGCAAGACTGACCATGAGAAGCAGAGTAAGGATAGAGAGAGAAGCTTATAGAAGGAGAGCCAATACCACTTAAGGAGCTGAATTTATAAAAAAAAACTAACCTGCATGTTAAGAGCCGCTGTGGTGATGACAGCACCGTTGGCAGGCTTAGGCTACATGTTACGAGGTTAGCAGATGCTTTATTACAGTGTAAATCTTAGAACCTGATTAAGAAATATGCACTGAGGTGTGTGGTCAACAGGCCTTGGTAGTGTATTTTGAAGAAATTGGTTGAGTTTGGGTCATAGCTACAAGCCATACAGCACAATGAATGAGTGTGTGTAAGGAAGAGGCTTTTATTTTGTAGAGTCCCTTTAAACTTATTTTGAAAGTCCATCATGGATGTGTGTCAAGGGAAGGGTCATGCCCAGCAGTGATATAGAATCCATTTCTAAATATGAAATCACTGCTTTTCCATATTATTGGGTGAATAGATGCTGTATTAGAGCGTAATTGGAAGACTTTTATTGTGAAATTCGCTCTAGGGTATGTTTTGAAAAGGTCCCTAGAGTCTAATAGAAACGAGCTGGTAGAGTTGGGGTCATAATGCTGAGCCATTTGCATCAATTAATAGACAGGTATAATATAGAGGCTTTTATTGTGTAGGGTCACTGGAGCAGGGTTGTGTGCTGAGAAAAGGGTGAGACTCAGCAGTGATACTTGATGACTTTCCAATCGTTAAATCACTCTTTTCCCGTTATTAGGGCAGTAGATTAATTGGCAAAGGGAGGCTTTTATTTTGAAATTTGCTGTGGGGTGTGTTTTGAAATCCCCCTAGAGTCTAATTTTAAAGAAGTGTTTGAGTTTGGGTCATACTGTTGAGCCATATGCTGCAAAAAAAAGAGAATAATAAAGAGGCTTTTATTTTGTAGGGTCCCCGGAGTCTTATTTTGAAAGTCTATCAGGGGTGCATGTGAAGGGAAGGGTCATGGCCAGTAGTCATATTGTATCCATTTCCAAATGTTAAATCAGTGTTGTCTCCCTCCATTAGATTAAAATGTGCTGTTTAAAGTGGCAGAGGTAAAATCTCTTTGAAGCTCGGTTACCTTGACAACGCTTAACGAGCCTGTCAGTGAAAGAGAGAAACGCGCTTCACTTTCGTTCCTTTCCTCTCAGGCTTTTTTGAATGGGAATAGCAGCTCCAAACAAACGAGTGCTGAAGACAAACCGTAAATGGTATCTAAAAAAGTCTTTCAGTCTAAGCGACAGCTATCGTTTGTCTCCAATTGGGGTCACGTTCATGGATGTAGCTCATTCACAGCCTTAATGGGAAGGAGAAATATAAAGGTTTGTAAATCCTGCTGGTCTCATTAAATAACATGCAGCTCAAT